TCCCTAAAGAGGGCTGCCTTCAGTTGTCTTTTAAAAGTAAAATAGTTGTTTATTGCCTTGACATCTGCTGGGAGGGCGTTCCACAGGGCAGGCGCCACTACCGAGAAGGCCCTCTGTTTGGTTCCCTGTAACCTTACTTCTCGCAATGAGGGAACCGCCAGAAGGCCCTCGGCGCTGGATCTCAGTGTCCGGGCTGAACGATGGGGGTAGAGACGCTCCTTCAGATATACTGGACCGAGGCCGTTTAGGGCTTTAAAGATCAGCACCAACACTTTGAATTGTGCTCGGAAACGTACTGGGAGCCAATGCAGATCTCTCAGAACCGGTGTTATGTGGTCCCGGCGGCCACTCCCAAGTCACCAGTCTAGCTGCCGCATTCTGGATTAATTGCAGTTTCCGTGTCACCTTCAAAGGTAGCCCCACGTAGAGCGCGTTGCAGAGTTCCTCTGAGTTAGCAAAGACATGGATCTATATTGACCCTGTTCTCGTACAAAAATAATGACTTCATTCTCTTTGCTGGAAACTGGCAGTAAGTATTTCTTTCCATTATTATAAAATGCTTGGATAGAAACATCAACAATGAGCCATGCATCAGAGAGCAGACTCCCTTGAGAACCGAAGATACCAGAGACGGATTCCATCCGTGATGATAAATACTTTGGCTACCTGTTTTGAAACATTTCTAAGCCATGTTGGGGCTATAAACTGAAAGTACTGTAGTATGAAACCCAGCCACTGTTAAAGTAAGCCAAAGTCCTTCCTTACTGTTCTAGTCTGTTCTATTCTGAGGAGGTGAAAGCAACAAAAGCCAAATCCTATGCAAGCATAGGCGGGGGTGGGGTGGGGATTACTGAAGTCAGTAAGATCTCAACCAATCTTTATTTTGTCCAAAGACAGCAGAATTAATAACAGCAACGTATACTACATCAGCACCAAGGAGCGGACGCTGTAGATGAAATTAAAAATTCCCTATAAACTTATTTACATTAAAAATAGCACCCCTTCAGCTAAAATCTATGATCCAGAGTTTAAAGTCTAACTTTTTAACCATTTCCCAAATGCAAGAGAACTGCTAGTACATGGGTAGCCAACATGAAACTCTCTAGATGTTGTTGGACTACAGCTTGCATGATCCCTGATCATTCTGGCTCCAGGGACACCTGGAGTTCATAAACAATATGCACAATTTGTAAATGAGTCTTTTGACTGAATGAAACACAAATATATGTGGGATTTTCTGTGTGGCAGGGGTAAGACTAGAAAAATTGTGTGTGCAAGTAACTTCAAATCAGATTAGGACAGCCTCCTCATACCTGGTGCTACTCCTGCTATAGAGTTGTAATCCAAAATATCTGTTTGGGAAGCAGGTTGAGGAAGGCTGGATTAGGAGATGAGGAAGGAGAAACCTGACCACTGGTCCTGTTAGCTAGGGATGATGGGAGTTGTAGTCCCAAAACATCTGGAGGGCCGAGTTTGCCTATGCCTGGAATCATACAACCAGCAGCAGATACTGGATGTTAAATGAAGCTGGTTTTAAGATGTCAGAGTCATGCTGATCTAGATAAGTGTGTCATTTGGCCTTACACAACTCAGTTATTTGGGAGCATTGGATGAAAAGAACAACACCTAAGCCAAGCTTCAATTGTGGGGAAGGGCCGCTGGGGGAGGAAAGCTTCATTGTGCTGTCTCCCACTAGCACAGTTATTTTGTTGAATCTAGCCCCTTATTTTTTATTACTTTATACACTGCTTATATACCACATGGCTTCTAAGCAGTATATAGTCAATTAGAAAATATAAATGATATAATAAATAAGTTATAAAATCCATACATCATTAAAATAACGTACAATAACAATAGAAAATTTGGTATGGTGCAAGCAAGCAAATTTTAATTCTTAAAATGTGGCCTAGAGAAAGAAGTTTGAGAATCGCTAAGCTTTCTGAGATGGTAGCTGGTATATTAATCATGCCTTGGTTAATGAATGTTTTGACCAGAAATATGGTGACCATTCTTCCTGACCGCTTCACTTAGAAAGTACCAGTTGCCAGGCTCAGTTTTTCAGTTGATAGTGGTTACTGAGCACTTGATAGGAGCTCATCATTTTCTCCTAAGTTATGGTTTCTCTGAGGGATGGTGATTCATTGTGATAGATTAGAGAGAGCCTATTGATTAACTTTAATATTGCTTGGCTAATAGTCCATTGAAGTTATGTAATCGAGTGAACAATTCATATAATATGTTTGTCGAGGGTGCACAATGAGATGGTTATATTGAATATTCCAGTCCTGCCATAGATGCTCAGATAATATAGCTCCCCAGAGAAGAAAGTATACCAAGCGATTCTTCTGCATATCCCACTTACATCCAAAGCCCACCCCCTTGGTTATGTTTGAAGGTTCCTGAATATCAAGTCAAGAGTAGTCATAGTACCAGGTGACCTAGACTGTTGTCAGTCTTAAAACTCCTTCAGGGGTGTCTTGCAGCCACTCTCAGTTTAACCACCCCTCATTTGGGTTGTGGCTGCCTCCGCAAGTGAAGCTGTTTTGTCCAGAACAATCTATTAAACAAACTATTTTGATAATTTCTTAGTGTACAATGGTAGTGGCAGCAGTTGCCTGTCTACATCCACTCAGAGATTAAATTTAGTTGGCCTGAAAAGATTGTGAAAGGCAACAAATTCTTGCTTCTAAAAGCAGTTACACCAGAGCACACATGGGAATACATAATTTATTTCGATATAAGCTTGTATCAATTAAGTGATTGATTTAATAAGGTAGCTTTTAAAAGAAAACCTATTAATATTAATGCAAATGTAATCTTGTCTAAGGCTTTGCCGCCAGGCTTGCTTAACAAAGTCATATGGACCAATTTTCATGCATCATTGTGTGATGCTGAGTAATCCAGACTAAACCGCAGTGAATATGGATGAGACAACAGTGAATCACTATTAGGATACTTGGAAGAAAAATTTCCCAGCAGCAATATGCCAGTTTTATTTCTCTTCCGTTTTTGATTTTCTTTTTCTCACTGACTCTGATGAATTGAATTGACTTTTGTGCTAACTTTTCCTTTTCCTTTTCCTTTAACATAGAACCAATAGAACCAACAAATAAAAATATTTTCTTAAAAACTAGAAAAGAATCTTTAATCTTTATTAAACATTTTAAAACTTCCCTATACAAGGCTGCCCCTGTCGCATAACTCCATACCCTCCGACATTCCTCCAGTGAAAATGGTGATGTCCTAAGGAAAAGCGGGACGTTCCAGGACAGCTTCTGTAAATCTGTGACTCTCTCTGGAAAATAGGGACACCTTGAGGATCTGAGTTAGTACTAGTACGACTGTGACATTTGTCGCTATCCTGTAAATAGCCCTGAGTTGATTGCTGGTGGGAAGAACCAAGTGACCCCCCTTTTAGGATACAAAATTCAATACAGTGGTACCTCGGGTTAAGTACTTAATTCGTTCTGGAGGTCCGTTCTTAACCTGAAGCACCACTTTAGCTAATGGGGCCTCCTGCTGCCACTGTGCCGCCGCTGCACGATTTCTGTTCTCATCCTGAAGCAAAGTTCTTAACCCGAGGTACTATTTCTGGGTTAGGGGAGTCTGTAACCTGAAGCGTATGTAACATGAAGCATATGTAACCCGAGGTACCACTGTAATGTGCACTCGGACACACAAATGAATTAGTAAGGATTGTTACGATATCATTGGCAATGCTGATTTATCCTGTTCTTTTTCAGATTAGGCTGTGGCACTGCCTAGTCCGCCCTCTCAGCGTTCTGCAAGCAGAAGGCCCCACATTCAGTGGGATCTCAGTTATTTCTTCCAGCAAGGGCTGTTTTCTGTGCCCATTTTCTGGTGGGAGAGGGAAACCAAATATAATGTGTGGCCTTGCTTGAAGAGAGTATCTTGGAGGCTTCAACAGCATCACTATGCAACTGATAAAAAAGCGATAGCTTAAGAATCTGTGATGGATTGGTCTGTTTTTATTAGTCTGCCAAACTGCATCATTCTTTCAAATAACCAAACTCTTTTTTTATTATTATTCTGCAAGGTTTGCCAAGGGCCTGTCAGCCTTTCCATTTGAAACCCCATATTTTCTGGGGTTTGTGAGCACATTGTTTCAATCTGCTCTGAAACTTGGCTTGTGCCGATTAGCAGATATGTTTTCTTAGCAAATTTAATATGGTAAGCTGTTCCTTAACTTGTTGAGGTGGCCGTTTTTCTTTTACTTAACTAGATAGGGGTATTACTTTCCAGTCTACTGACTCCAATTAGATTTATGAAAACAAAAACCCTGCTCACTTTAAAAATATGCACATTCCCATGTTTCGTTTGCCACAAGATCTGGCCTCAAGAGTGGTCTGCTTCTTTACTTTGGTCAGTGATTGACTAAACACCACCTACCTCCCCTCGCTTAACTCCTCCTTTGTGCATATTTTCCTTTAGTGTATTTGCAGGGTTCTTCGTTTCAGCTCCTCTTTCCTTTCCTCTCCTTCAATCCATATGCATCACTGGAAGAATTGCTGCATTGAGTCCTCATGGATTTGGCATTACTTCTAAGTACTATTCTGGATCTGAAGATAGGGATGGTAACAACAACTATAGATTAAATTGTTCAAGGGCTGAACTATATCCAGTCTCTATTGCTTTGAAGCCCTCATCTTGATGCATCCTATTTTTATAATCAAGACTCTTGTGGGTGTCAGTTTAGTTCTACTTGATCTTATGTGGAAACTAAAGGTACTTTCACGGTCTATTTTTAATTCATGGTTACAACATGAGAGGCAGAAGTACAATTTGCCCGGCACTTAATTGGTGGGATTTTTTTTCTGTTTTTTCTTCTTTTTGTCACTTCCTGAAAGTCTGCAGCTGAGATCTGAAACCCAGGAACTGAAAATTAGCACCACAAGCTGTCTCTTAATCACAAGAGAGAAGGATCTGTATCTGGATACCAACTGTGCTTCACTATAAACACAGAGTTGATGTAAGGTGATGTAGAATTGAGTCTGAATGGTACCTGTTCAAGAAGAACGTTGGCCACCGCTGGAAGGAAGTTGCTTGGATGGTAATCTTAACAAGTAGGAGCATGTGCACCGAAGTAAGTGTAAGGTGAGGTAGCTGAATGTGAAAGGTGGAAAATGAATGTGTTTAAAAAGCGCCCTGGTCCCCCTGCACTTTTCCAGAGATCCGTGTCGGTGCAGGATGGTGATTCTACAAAAGTGAGAGCTAGTTTGAAGGACTACCATTGGTGCTATCAAGTGAAAAGCAAGAGGACTTTGGAAGAAGCAGATTCGGATTTAGGGAAGCTGCTTGGAACTTACCGATGGCAGACTCATCCCAGACTTCCGTGGAAAGTGGCCAAGAGGCCAGATGCAGCAAGGACTGCCGAAGAGCCTTTGACAGTGTCCACGTTAGTTGCTGACAGTCACCAAGAAGACCCAGAAGAGAAGGCTGTCATGCCAGCAACAAGGCCATTTCGGGTTCCTTTCTGCAGATCTTTATCTGAACCTGCCCCGCACTGGAAAGAGAGGAACACTCTGCAACCAGAGTCTGGGGAGCAGGACAATTATTTTGTCCGCGGCTTCTTTTCTACAATCTCCAGCAGCTTTTCTAAGGTGCTGAATCGGAAGGGGGAACAGAATGCTGCCGTGACAAATGAGGGAGTGGAGAGTAGTCAGATGGATTTGACTGAAGGTATTATTTTTCTACTTTCCCTAATGTTCTGTGAGTGAATTACTTGTTTCATAGGGACTGTGTTAGTGTGCAGTGTCCTGCCCCCCCCCCGAAATAGCCAAGGTTTTTCTGCATTTCCATTGGTCATTTTGTAAAAATAAATAGTATGAAGAAGCTGATTTGTGTTCTCTGATTTGGGGGGGGGGCAACTAGCCTTTCCTCTCCAATGTATTGGAGCTGTTTAGTGTTGACTTGTTTGTGTAGCACAGGCAATAACCCTTTTGCACAGATTCAAAGCATGCACGACTATGCGCGCATGCATTGCCACAAACCCAGAAGTGGCAGGAAAAGGGGGTGGGGATGTTAATGTGCTTATACGTACTCTGCCATCACACACAATAACCTGGAACCCCACCCCCACCCAAACCAAGGGTTGCATGTGCAGTATATACTGAATACACAAAGTAATACAATTTAATGGAGTCATACCATCTAGTTGCGTAGTAAGAAGGTGAGTTTGTAAATATCCCAGTTTGTTATTAATCAGCATAAACATGGTTGTTTAGATCGAGGGATTTTTACCTGGGTGTTAAGCTGTTACAGCAAAGGTGATTGGTGCAACTGCTTGTCAGGAGTTCTTCAACCTTTTTAGTGCATAGCCGTTAACCGTCCCTTATTTGGCGGGAAACTCCCTTATCCCAGCGCCGTTTCCCGCTGCTGTCCCGGATTGATGATGCCCCTTAAATTTCCCAGGTTTCATGCTCGCCCGGCTCAGGAGGGAAGCAGCGGCTCGGGGTCCTCTGCCTTGAGAGAGTGAGGGAGAGAGTGCGCACGAGCTGCCGCGTCTCCGTCTCTCCTTTTTTCCCCCTCAGGGGCGCGTCGTGAGGAGACAGGTGGCAGCGGGCGGGCAGGCGGCCCCTCTCTTGCAAGACTTCTGCCGCGCTGCCAGGGAATGGGGAGGGACGCATTTCAGCTTAAAATGTTCAGTTGAGAAGAAAGCCCTCTCATTCAAACTGCAAAGAAACAATTTGTAAGCGTTTCTCCCTGTTTTCATTGAGGTCTTGCGCCAGCAGGAACAACCAGTAGCCCTTAGATCATGGCTGGGTTCATGGATCATGGCCCAGTAAACATGCTGCTCTCACTTTGTAAAGCACAATAGCCAACTAGTTGATACACAGCAAAATAAGGAGCTAGTGGGTGCAGCAGCTTACAGCACCGCATGAAGTGGTGGGATTTTTAATTTTTCACAATATTTTCGATTACTATTCTTTCCACATATCTCACTTAATGTTTTTTATCGAACGACATGGTATTGTTTGGAGCTGATGTGTATGCTTATCTCAGACCATTAAAAAATTTAAAAAACAGGAATCATAGTTGAGTGTGATAGCTATCTGCACAAGAGTATTAGAGCACAGTGTGCTAAAGGAGAGCAGATGCCTGGCATTTGTAATGACACGATGACATTTAAAGCTTGCTACTGGGAAGCCAAAGGCACAGAGGAAAATAATGCTGTCTTTAAATTGCACACTAGGCGCTGAAACTGAACCAGTTCATCATGTGAGATTTATGGCTTTGTAATCAGTCAGCTAAACTGATGCATGCTAAGATGCCAAGCAGAGGAAAGTTGTAAAGGTTTGGCCAGTTGGGATTGTGGTCAGTAAACATTCTAATCCCCAACTCTGGATTTCAGATAAATCTTCTCCACTGGTAATTTTAAAAAGGTTCCTTAAAAAGAGAATCAATCTAATTTGAACTGTTACTGATTCAACTGTGAAAAATGGCTGTAAGGTCTTCCATTTAAAAATCCCCGAATACTTTTGATTATCTCATTCAACTGTTGGAAACATCTGGAAACCATTGAGTCCATTGCTGGACTGGTCCTCTGCAATCAAAAGTCCTCCGATTATTATGAACAGCTATGCTGACATGGGCATTTAAAACCTCTTAATCACAGTCTAGTGTGCTCTTGTATTGGGTAACCCTACAATTACTAGAAATAAAACAGTAACCATCAAAACTAGACACTTAAGTTGCACTTGAAAGTGCTTCTTTTTGGCTGTTTGTTCTCTGCAAAACATTATAACGCCCTCCCATCAGATGTCAAAGAAATAAAAAACTATATGACATTTAGAAGACATCTGGAGGCAGCCCTGTTTAGGGAAGTTTTTCATGACTGATGTTTTAATGTATTTTTAATCTTTTCTTGGAAGCCGCCCAGAGTGGCTGGGGAAACCCAGCCAGATGGGCGTGGTAGAAATAATAAATTATTATTATTATAATAATTATAAATATTGCTAGAACTTGCAGAATAATTTCTGAATTCTGAGTGCAGAAGGTTTTTTTTTAAAATTAACACTTTTAGAATAAAACAAGCAAGATTTACTAGCAAACCACGGGGGAGGGGAGAATGCTGGCATAATGAGTATGATGGATTGCCATTTGCTGCCAGGCAAAAACTTTTCTATAAGGCAACCAGGTTTTTAAGAATTGGTTCACTATTTGCAACAAGTTGTTCACTCAGAGATAAATACTGCTATCTGATCCTCAGCCCATTGATATATAGAGGGAAGGAGGTTGCAGACCAAGCCTCTTCTTGGCTGTCATGAGGCCTTGAAGAAGTTAATCTCAGTGACCATCTGACAGGCCCCATATGACAGTATGTGAACATCCGTAAAATTCAGTTCTATTCAGAAACCAAAGACAGTGAAGTGCAGACTTCTGGCCCCCGAAGAGGCATTTATAGGGGAACTCCACTTCATTTGCACTGGAGAACCTCGTCCATTGGACACAGCTGGCCAAGTAGGCTGTTGTTAGGAGCCGGAGTCAGGAGTAAATCAGAAATAAATAAATAAAAAAACACCAGCACCAGTGAACTAAACTCTTTATTCAAAGAAACCAAAACAGAGCAGGCCTAGTGATTCCACCAACTCTTCTCAATAGGTCTTAGGTCTTGCCCCAATGAGGCAGTTGAGAGGACTCCAAGTCCCCACCTCCCCACCGCTCTCTAAGGCTCCTCCCCTGGTTCCTTGCCTAGCAGTCTAAGGCGCTGTCATCTTGTCTCTTGTTGCTCTGCCCTCTTCCAGGGGGAGAGGGGAGCTGGTTGCAGCAGGAGGGGGAGACTGCTTGGATTTCTCAGTAGCCTTCTTCATCTGTCTCCTGGCCCCCCTCCTCTCCTGCTCTCTGTTGCAGCCTCTTCCTGCCCATTAAACCCTGTTGCCTGTTCACCTTCTGACACTTCCTCCTCCCAGTCTGCCCCCTCTTCTCCCTCTGACCACACCCCTCATTGTCCCACCACCAGTCCCCTGGCTCTGAGGCATCTTCCCCTGGGGAGAAGACGAGGTTCCCCCAGCTGTTGCCTCCCACCAGTCCTCTGCACCAAGCCAGTTCATGACAGCTGTCTACACAGTATTTCAGTGCAATGTGAGGAGTTTCCAGCGGATCCTGAGTTGACAATCAGTATTTGACAAACTGCAGAATTCAGATGTCAAGCTCTAAAAGGTTTGAAAACAAAAATGTGATAGCTGGGACGCTGAAACCTAAGTGCTGAGCAACAAGGATAGGAAAGAGACAGGAGGGCTATTACACACATGCCATATTTGTGGATCTCCCAAATGGTTCCCAATTAGCAGACCCAAGCCATGGACCATCTACTTTTGAATTTTTTTGATATCTCGACAGTAGTTTGTGTCCACTACTGGATCTCTACACTAGGACCTGCCTACAGCTGTGCAAGTTGGGCAGACAGCATTGAAAACACCTACTGCCCCAGCTAGGCAGGCACCAGTTGCTAGGGCAGCGCTATAAAGCCTGCCCTGGGTGCCTGCCTATTCACCAAAGGAAAGCACTAAAGGGAGCCGTCCCCTTGGGGGTGGCATTTGGGGGGTGGAGCGAGGGCATGGGCCATCCCATTAAAAAATTACTGTTTAAATCAGAATGGTGCTTTTAACCCCATTGGGTGGGTGTTGTTTATTTGTGTGGAGGGGCATCAGTTGGGGACCACTGTCCTGGAGACATTTTATCAACTGCTGTTGGCAATGCATTGCTGGACTACATGGATCCTTTGATGGATCCACCAAAGCTGCTTTTATGGTTTGCACAGAGAATGTGTAATAGCGGATGGAGTCTTGTGTGTATGTGCTCCTCTGATAGGGAAGTGGTGCAAAACATTGTGTAGTTTTGCCTTGTGTAAGGTGGCAGCCACCCACCCACTCTTCAGAAGGGGTGTGATTGAACAATGATGCACAGCTGCTAAAACTACCATAAATTGGTTTTATGTGGTCTTAGGAAATACGGCTTCCAGATTCAAAAAGGGGATATTGGGATTCAGCCTGTTTTGGAATGCTGGGATCCAGCCTATTTTATTTTATTTTATTTTATGTTCCTGATTGCTGAGAAATACATTCTATATCATCTCTCTCTCTCTCTCTCTCTCTCTCTCTCTCTCTCTCTCTCACACACACACACACACACACACACATATATATATATAGTGTTATCCCATCATTGCTTTGTGAAGGTCCCATCTAATCTGAAAGCTGAAAAAGAAATGAGATAGCATTCAGCAAGCAGGTTCATTTACACAGGTACATTTTATATTATAGCTTGGTTGGTAGAGCATGAGACTTCATCTCAGGGTGATGTGTTCAAGCCCCATGCTGGACAAAAGATTCCTGCATTGTTGGGGGTTGGACTAGATGACCCTCGGGTCCCTTCCACCTCTGCCATTCTATGATTCTATTTTGTTAACCAATCTGTTAGAATCATAGAACTGTAGAGTGGAAGGGACCCCAAGGGTCATCTCGTTCAACCCCCTGTAACTATTGGAGGAAGGGGTGGCCTGGAGATCAGCGAGTGGGTGTCACCCTCTTGTCCCGGTCAGATCACTTCCTTGTGAAGTTTTGACTTACAGCTCTGATCCTCTTCTGCAGGAGTGGTGGACAGATTAAGATGATGTGCCTCCAGAGACTAATGGAATCCAGTGAATTCTGAATGCCCTGGAGGAGTTTTCAGTAGACAAA